AACCTTTATATATATATATATATATATTACCCAAAAAGCAAAAAATTCTGTATACAAATGTGTAAAAATCAGCAATAAACATCAACTGATAAAGTAAGTAAGATAAAAATGCAAACATGGAATATTAACTGTCATATTCTGAAACCATGCTGAATTAACACTTGGGAGCCTTACCTACAACTTTAGTTAGTATATTTATTATTAAAATCTCTCTGTGCTTATGAGCAGTGATTTTAGATTTATTTGTAATTAATTAAATGCAATATCTAACAGATGACTATTATAAACTTTGAATATAATGCAAAGGAGTTAATTTTACCACATTTACAAGAAAGGAACTACAGCCTTAATTATGCATGGTGATAATCTTAGCTTCATGGTTTATAACTAAGATTTCGTAAACAAAAATTGTTCTAGAATACCTCTGACACTAAACAATGCTTCAGATTTACTAAATACTTTAGATAAAATATATGCCCAATATGCTCATAATTATAAATGTATTTTTTAAAAACTCCTGATGGTAGTATGTAAAATAATCTCTCTTATTTGGGTATATGTGTTGTTGGATCACACATTATGAGTCATCATTACATAAATTGTATTAGGAACCCGTCATGCTCTTGCTCTTTCCTGATTGGTCCCAGAAAAATAATTCAGTTTTAGATCTGAAAAATATGTACTTTCTGAAAGGTTTAAAAGAAACAATTGATAAGAGAAATAATTAGTTGTTGGAAACGTTAAGCAACATAGCCTCAATACCAGCCCAAGTTTCCTCTCCTGTTGGGATTATTTCCTTACGAGGAAGAAAGAATCCATGTTCACCTCTATCACGAAGCTCCAAAGCAATAGAGTAGTTAGCACCAACATTATCATACACCCAATCTATTGAAGATCCAGCAGCAGGGTCTATAAAAAATATTAATATTGTTAAGCTACTTACAACACATAATTTCGAATTTCAATTTCAAAAGTATTTGCATTTTAAACAGGTTTATTCACAAAAGAAAGAATAATGATGTGTGTATACTCTTATAAAATTATTTTGAGCATCATTTCTTAACTAATCATTCCCATAAACATCTGAATACAACACCATTGTAAGTAAACCTTACTATCTATCCTCGTTCAGTCAGTTAATACCAATGTTTTACAAAATGTTATGTCGAAATATATCTATATGTATTAATGAAAGTGTATACTGAAGATAAGTAATTTAATCTAGTTAAGAACCATTTTATGTTTGTTTGTTGAAGTTTTGTTTTATTAACTGTTAGTTAGATGAATTAATGATTAATAAAAGTTATTATACGTGTTCACCATTGGCCTGAGACTCTAATTCTCTAGTTTAACTGTAAACTATCTCTAATTAGCGACTTGTGGCTCCACTCGTTACGACAAATCCTCCAATAAATAAATTTGGTGTAACGAGTAGTTTTAATTGAAACTCCAACAATTAAGCCCACCAGAGCACTACTGAAGCAACTTGAAATTTTTGAGGAAATTTTACAAATTGCTTCAAGAGTTTTAGTATTTAAAATTACATATAATGAAAGCTTAAGGGTTTTTAATATAAGCAAGTAGGCAAAGATAGATATAAAAAGAAAAAGAGGCAACAAGAGGACACCTGTGTTATGAAATAAACATTAACTTAGTTATGTAAGAGGCATCGCCTAGAAGTAAGCAGCAAGACATGTGCATTACTCGAAATAAGTTTGAGAGGCGAGCTTGGAAACCAGTGACCAAGGTCAGCAGCAGAGTTAGTAAGAACTGTTGTATAGAAACAGGATGTAGACACCAGTACATGTGACAGTTTGATGAAGTGCTAACTCGCCCTCTTAGCACTAGGAAAGCTGCAGAAAAGTTTAGATTTAGTGAATCATATCGGCACTTTGAGGTGGTATTAGTTATAGCACATGGGTGTAGCAGTACAAGTGAATAGGCAGCTGGCTAACACCACTTATCTATGACCAATTACTTGAGAATTTTGGTTTAGGTTCTGGTTTAGCCCGGGAATTCCCCTAAAGTACCCAATAGGAGCACAGGACTACTTGTGGGTGATGCTGTGTCCTATTTAGTTGGTCGAATTAACACCAGGAAAATAGAGTTTAAAAAACCATGTCAGAGGCTGAAAAATCGGTCCTTCACCGAAGTTCTCTCCCGGACTGAAGAAAGTTCTCCAGGAAGAAGTTCTCAAAACCAAAAAGAAAGTAAAACTCAACAACATAGCCACGGCTTCTAAGACACCAACTCTACTGTAAGTATAGTCTCTCTCTCTCTTGATCAGCTAGTGTAGAAAATAGTAAAGTTTTTATAAGTAGTAATTTGATAAACTAATATTTTAAGTGTGTTTTCTAAGAATTACTTTATGTTAAGTAAACATTATTTTGAGTATTTACTATTGGCCTGAGAGTCATTTTCTCTAATCTAACTGTAAACTCCTCGAGTTAGCGATTTGTGGCTCCACTCGTCACGACAAATCCTCCAATAAATAAATTTGGTGTAAAGAGTAGTTTTAATTGAAGCTCGAACAATTAAGCTCACCTGAGTACTATTTTTACAGCTGGCGCAGTCTCGAGGATTTTTGGAGTAGCTAACGACAGGTTGGTTAGAGTAAAGAAAGTCGCCCGAAGTACTACAAGTAGTGTAAGTTAGAAATAAGTTAGAATTAAGCAGTTATGGCTACTGCTGGTGTAGATACGACTGCAGAAGAGGGTGGAACACGCCCTAGAGTCGATAGAAGTGCCGACGCTAACCATGAAGCTGCAGCGGAGCAACCCGCACAAATAGGGCCACGCGGCGCAACACACTTAACAAGTGCAATACCGGTGTATCACGGTAATGCAGACGAGGATGTTGAAAGCTTTATGAACGCCTTAGATGAAGCAGCTAGAATATCAGGCTGGACTGATGCCCAGAAAGCTGACATATTATGTTTAAGAACAGCAGGAGAAGCTAAACGTTACATTAAGGCTTATGGCGAGCTGCGTGAAACAACAGACTATCAATACCTAGTGCGTAAGCTACTAGACGAGTATAGGATACGAGAAACTACTAATGTAATCTTAACAGAAATGCGTAACCTATATCAACAACGTGGGGAATCCGTCCGAGTTTTTGGACATAAGCTACAAGAGTTAGGTAATAGATTGCGCAAGGCTTATGCATATCCAAGCGAGGATATGTTGCAGGATACTCTAAAATCTGAGTATGAACGAGGGCTATACAGTAATGCAGCTAGAGGACATGTAAACGAAGCAAATACCCCTAGTGTAACTTTACTAGATTTAAATGAAGTAGCCATTTCGAGAAGAGCTATGAGAAAAGCAGATCTATAAGCCTAAACATTCTGCTATAAATGCAGTTAATAAGTCTAGCAAGGCTAATCTGTCTAATACACAGAGTAAGCCCAATGGCTTCCAGTGCTTTAACTGTGGTAAAGTTGGGCACAAGGCAAGAAACTGCTTTCAAAAGCAGAAAAGAAATGAGCAGACAGTGTGCTATAACTGTGGCATTACAGGCCACATGGCACGAGTTTGCCGACGCCCACGAAAGGCTGAAAACAGAAAAGCCACAGAGGCTGGAGCTTACAGAGGAAGGTCTTCCAATAATAACGGTAGCTCTACCTTTACTACAGGTCCAAAAAAGATAATCCCCGCCGGGATTACAGAGCGAAAGTAGAGGTAGTTCTGGCAGTTTGGGATAAGCGATCGAGTATTCATAGTGTTAA